TATTAATCCCCCCCCTCACTTTCTCTCCCCTCCCCTGTAGCTGGCCGAGCTGCTCCGCTGTCCACGGTGCCGGACGGACTGATAGGAAGGAGTGTGCACTTCCTGTCAGTCCGGTGGTTACAGGAAACAGAAACTCCTGTTCCGCGCGGAGTTTCTGTTTCCTGTAACCGGCCGGACTGACAGGAAGTGCACACTCCTTCCTATCAGTCCGGCCGGCACCGTGGACAGCGGAGCAGCTCGGACAGCTACAGGGGAGGGGAGAATATGTGCTGCAGCCGCCTGAGGCTCTTAACAGAGCGCTCAGGCGGCTGCAGCATTTAAAGGGCCGGCCCTGCAGCGGCCGGTCCTGACAGAATTTAGGGCGGCCTGGGGGGCAATTGCCTCCCTGCCCCCCGGCCCAGCCCGCCCCTGTCTAAAACCATCTAAAGAACATATTCATATTTGGCAACAGCATATGTATAAATATATGTATGCGCATATGTCAATGCTGCTTGTAATGTATTGTGTTTGAATCTGTGAGTATTGTGAGTGTTTTCAGCTCTGTAAATGCAGGGTTAAAGATTATGTTAGAAGTGGTTAGGAGAAAGAGGGTTTATGGTTAGAGAAGAGTAAATGTCAGAGTTATATTACATAAGGAGTTTAGTGTTAGAAAGATTAACAGTCTGACATGGGTTAAAGTTGTAATACAAAGGCTGTTTAGGATTATTGAGTTTAGAGTTAGGTATATTTAGCACGTGAGGTGTATAGTTTTTAAGACTTTATTTTCACGTTAAGGCTTTGAGTCTGGAGTTTGAAAGGTTATTTACAAAACACTCACCCTCCTATGTCAGTCATATTAATGATATTAGAGCTGCAGTAGTGTGCATACAGTGTGCGTCACTGAGAACTTCCCCTGCTCCTTCTGCAAGGCATTTCCTGTGTTAGATGTTACTAGTGGGCAGATGGGAAGTGATCCCTTCCTGTCCAGTCTCACTCATAGATACTGGAGGAGCTGGAACAGTACTGAATTTTACACCCTCTATAACTGTTCCTGCAGTCCTGCTATTAAGGCTGACTGGACTAAAGAGGACACTGGTCAAGACTCCTGGTACTTATCTCTCCTCACCAGGCTCTTTAAGTTTGAAAAGACACATTAAAAATGCTGAAAACAGGAACTCCTGGTGGTTAGGCATCTGTTGGCATGGGCCTACTCTACATAATTGGACATCCGGCCCTGGGT